TTTTGACACCGTCAACTCCGTATGCATAAAAAAACTTGTTTGCAGCCATTATATCATCGTATTTATCTGATTTGGGTAGCCTTACGAATATGACATTATATGCCCGGTTTTGTCGATTTTCAGTTTCGGCCGTGACGATGTTGATTAGTCGATGGCGTTGTTGGACTTTCTCAGCTGATATATCCTTAAGTATGGTTGCAAATGATTTCAATTTGTTGGATAATGGTGCACTCTTTAGCTTTTTGTTAAACTCGTCTATCCGATTGTTTAATATACGTACAGATTCTTTATTTGTATTGTTCATTACCTCAATATTATCGTTATAGTTTTTTATCGCTCTTTGCTTAAAACATTATATTTCTTGTAAGAATCAGAGAAAGTCTTTATTTTTCTATCAAAAAGTTTTATGTGGAAATTTAAACTTTCTGCAATACTCGCTACTTTATTTTCAACCGGCTTGATTATTTTAGCGTTGTTGTGAGTATCCTTTTTAACTTTAGCCATTAGATCGTTAGTCGTTTTGGTATTTTCACTTATAATGCTTATCTAGTTTTTTTCTTGTTCTGTAAACATTAACTCCACTACTTTTTAAAAACCGTTTTGTGCATTTAAAAAGAACCGACATACAGAACTAAATAACTACAGAAAAGAGTTTACTCGTAACGCTATTATTTTTTCGAAGTTACTTTTGTCTCAGTCTACTGTGTATTCAAAAAAGAATCATGTAAGTACATTGTTTACATTATATTGTTTAAACGTTTATACAAGGGGTAAAACCTGCAGCTCGTAAGCCTCTTGTGATTCTTTCAATTTCAAGATGAAGCTCTTTAGCTGCATCTTGATATCGAACTATTACTATAATGACATGAACAAATATTAGTATAATCAGGGATGCGGAGTCCCAAAAAGACTCCAGTTTTATTTCTCTAATTTTTACTGGTCTCTAGTGTTCCAAAGCTCTGAAAATGTAGGTTGATTTATAATCTGCTAAATAAAAAAAATTCATGAAATTTAATGATTTGAAACATTTTGTTTTTAAGGCCGGTGTCCCAGAGTCCTAGCCGCCATTATACCTGAAGACTCCGGGTTCAAAAAGAGATTGTTTCTCTATTCTAAAAGTTTTAATTTTTTTACCAATAGTAATCCAAAAGCGTTTTTATATTATTAGATGGATGCCAAAAGCTAGGAAGAAGTAATCTTTTTGTGACATTTAAATCCGGAGTCCTTTTTGGGACTCCGCATCCCTGAATATAATATTAAAAGGAAGATGTTGATAGCTCTTTAAAACCTGAAAAAACTTTGTATATTTTAGCTTTTGGCTGTTCCGTCTCAAAAGGTGGCCGACCTCTGGTTTATACAATTTGTCAAATGCTACTTTTGTTATTCGAGACTCTAATAAAAATAATCGGCTTTCACTGTAAATTTGTATAAGGTTTAATGTTAAAGTCAGGAGAATTTTATTAATTTGAAAAACAATTATAATTTAAACGTGTAAACATTTTTGTGAACCCTAATCTTTTTTTTCTTAAGAACTTGTCAAGTCTTTGTATTTTTAAATTGGAATTATGTTTACAAATTTAAAGTTTAAATTTTTTTTCTATACATTTTACTTTAAATCACTTTTTGTTCACAGCAAGCATTTGTAATTTTAAATTTATATATTTATTTAAAAATATGTTCACAAATTAAAATTTGAATAAATATTTTTTTTAAACATTTTACTTTGAACCACTTTTTTGTTTCAGTTGTAAACAAGTCAGTTTAAAACATATTTTTTTTCTATCCTTATTTTCTATATGGGGGGGGGGGGGGAAGTTATCGAATGTTGACGTAATTTTATAGGGGCTTACTGAAACCTTGACAAGGTGTTGACAAGGGTGAGGAGAAGGTTAAAATTGCCAAAAAATTGTTGACGTAATTAATTGACAGTCCCTAAGTCACTACTTTTTTTTTGACGTAATAGTTTAACTTTACATGTTTACGACTTTTATCCTTAGGTTCTTAGTATAGAACCTTTAAATTATGGCCAGTTTTTGGAATCTGCGCGTTAAGACCCAAAGTAGGTTTACTTGTTAAATTTTTAATTATACGGTATCCTACACATGCGTAAAGCTTAAAATAGTATTCTTTTATTACAAGACAACATGAGTAACTCTAAACCATTGGTCGTTGTATGTATACTTACTGCGCTTATGCCTATTTAAGTCATTCGATGTATATACACTCCGCTGCATCTACCCTATATATCCCTAGTTGTCTACTCCCTATGAATCCGAATCAGCAGTTGTAAAAGGGTAGGCAGTATTTGTTGTGAAATCTGTTCATACAAATATGTAAACAAAATGGTGTCATTTTTTAGTTACTTCTAATGATGGACAATCTTAAATAGGGTTATGCCATTTTTAATTTTTTTTTAACAGGAAATATTTTTTTTTTGGGGCTGTTTGTAGCTTATCGTATAGCATCGAGCTCCGCTTCGGTCATCGACTCTAGCTTTTAGTCTTGCTCCAACAACATCTTTTAATATTGCAGTTTGCTTCAAACGTTTATAAGCAGTTTTTTTAGTTATAGGAATCCGTTTAGAGTTAGTAATTACGAAACAGATTAAGAAAATGAATGCATTAGAATGACAATAGTGGATTTAATAAAATTTATAAATATATACCTAACTTATATATTCTAAAGTTGTATAATTAAATCATATCTTATACTCATACGCCTGTATGATTGTATTAAGTAATCATTAGATTCATTACATGGAATTATATAATCAATTGTGGCTCGATTTGATTGAACATTTCTTTTTTTCTTTACTATTTACAGAAATAGTAAAGAAAAAAAGCTGTAATTATAAATTTACAGCTTGTTTGTACAAATAATATTGTTTTTATAAAAATTACTACTTTAACGTTTTTCTATATTTTACCTCATCTGAAGCCATAAGATTTAATTGTAAGGTTCCACCTCTAATGGTCCTGAATATACGATCCATCATTTAACGAGGACCTACCATGAGAAAGGCCATCCACTTTTTTCAGTGCCCTAAAATTTTCTCGGCAGACCTGCTGCATACCTCATAACATTATGTTATGAAGTATGCAGCAGGTCTGTCGAGAGAAATTTCGGTCAAAAATTTCTCTCGACAGAAGAAAGTGGATAGGCTTCAGTGGATAGGAGGAAACGTTTTAACTTAATTAAACTTTTTTGGTAATGTGTTTACTTTTTTTTTGTTTGTTTTGTTTTTGCAATTGATTTTCAAAAATACATGCATACTGAGCCGTTCGTAGTGCCGTATAACATGCATACAGGGCCGTTCCAAGTTGAATAGGGTTCTGCGATAATTAAAGTGTAAATGTGATTGTACAGACTTTTTTCCCCCGCTTGGGGAACTGTCTAGCCCCCAAACACGCGGCTATACCCGTGTGGCTGAGGATCTTCAACCCAGCAGAAATCCTTGTATACTCTAGCTCCCAATGGGTAATTTTTAAGAAAACCCCCTATATTTACAGCCCCAGTCCTAAAATTAAGGTACCCGGCCCTGAATTACTTTATTAAACTTTATTAAAAATTTAAATTGCAATCATTTCAAATATTTTATTCACATATTTTGACTAAATCGAATTTTAGGCGACTTAGTCGGTTTCAAATATGTGTTAGTCGACTTTGATCGACTTTAGAAAATTTATTAGTCATTTTTATATACTCATTTTTATGTACAAAATTGATAAAAAAATGACGCCTTCCATATTTAATACCCTTTTTAATAAAATAAATCATTTTTACCCTACCAAATTTTCAAATCTGAACTACAAACAATCCAAAACATATTACATGGCCACAAAATTCTCAATTACAAATAGAGGGCCCAAATTATGGAATACAAAAATTAATAACGGTATAAAAAATATTATTTTCCTTAACCAATTTAAAATAAAACTTAAGCAAAAATTTCTTAATATTGACAATGAAATAAGTTATTTCTAAATATCAAATATAGTATTATATGTTATATTTATTATTAACTGACTGGTTTGCTTTTTCAGTTCTTCAATCTATAGTTCTTAACTATATTTAACTATAAATAGTTTTAAGTTTATGTTTTAAAACTAAATTAAATAAAAAATTTACTTACTATTTACTCAATACATTTTCTTTTGGTCGTCTCGAGGTTTTTATATTTCGCTTTTCTTTCTCTTTTTTTTTATTTTTTTTTTTATTTTTTATTTTAAAACTTGGTTTTTGAACTTTTTTTTTTTAATTTTTTTTTTATTTTTTATTTTAAAACTTTGTATTTTGCTATTTGTTTCTTTCTTTTTGTTATTGTTTATTTAAATTACAATTTAAAGGTTTTTATTTAAAAAAGCATAAATATATGTATGAGTGTATAAATGTTTGTGTATATATATGTATGTGTGTGTGTGTGTGTGTGTGTGTGTGTGTGTGTGTGTGTGTTTATGTATATAGGTATGTATATAGGTATGTATATATGTATGTTTGTTTGTATAATGTGTGTGTATATGTATATGTGTGTGTGCGTGCGTGTGTATATGTGTAAAACATGTATGTATATGTATTAAAACATTATATAATGAAATGTAAAACACGGTTTTAACTACGGGGCTTAGTAATAAGACTACTGTTGTCTTCTTTTTGCTCCTGCCATGTAAATTCAATTTATACGATTCATTATTGTAACAATGTTTAAACGGCAAATATATATATATATATATATATATATATATATATATATATATATATATATATATATATATATATATATATATATATATATATATATATATATATATATATATATATATATATATATATATATATATATATATAAAATAGTCGTCAGTCGAACTTTTCAATAGTCCTATTAACACTAGTTTTTCTCAAACAAATTGAGGCGCACGTCTCAAGCGCATTGAAGCTTACACCTCGCCTCACATATAGGGAAACCGCCTCAATACGCCTCACGCTTTTTTAAACCTTCCAGGCATGGTTTAAATAGTCTCATTAATTCAAAATAACCTAAGAACATAAATCGATTTATAATTTAACGGCGCCGACTACGATAAACATTCAAAACATTCAAAATGGCCCATAACACGTCTGATCCCAGTTCGCAGCAAAGGTTTAAAATTGGCTTATTATTTATCTTTATCATAAAATACTTTATTATAATAATATATTTATTTATTAATAATAGAATATTTATATCAATAATTATTATGTTATGATATGTCTTATTAAAATGAATGTTGGTATAAATAATAAAGGAAAATGATATATAACTATTATACTTTCGGACAACAACCCCACAAACAAAAAGCTAAAAAAACAAAAAAAAATGTTCTGTAATAGTAAAATGTGTATGTTAACATTGTTGATTATCCAGTTTTATGGTGGCAAATATGTCCGTTTGTGAAAAATTATAATTTATTTTTATTTCCAGTGAATGTAGCTTATTAATTAGTAAATTACATTTTTACAATAACAATTAGTATGACTTTTTATGTTCCACGTGTTACCTATTGATGCTAGATATTTTTTGAGCTTATGAAGATAGAATTTGTGATTTTTTGCATTGAATATCTTTATAAATAATCCTATTATCACAACTATTAGCACCTTAAAATGTACTTCACACTAATTTTTATATATAAATTGTTACCGTAAGTGGAACCATCATTTTTGGCGCATAAAAAGCAAATTTCTTTTTTTAATGAGTTTTTTTGATGTTGTTTGTGCTCTTCAAAGGTAAAATTGAATTGCATAGCATGATCTCATGAATGGTTCACTCAAAATTAAAGTTAGGAGTAAATTGTGATTCATGATGAATCGCAATTTACTCATAGCTTTAATTTTGTTTTCGTTTCATTAGCCTTGCATACTTAACAAATCCAATTTTTATTTTCTATGGATCAATTGTTTTGATTTAAAGTTCTATTTGATATAGGAACTTTTAGTGGTTCTTAATTTCAAAATCAACATTGTTACCATAATCCAAAGAATATAATGTGACTCCAGACAATTTTTGAAGAAAATAGTAAACTGTTTCGTTAAAAACAATACAAAATGGAAATTATTTTGTGGAGTGTACCACAAAAAACAGTTTAAAAATCAAAAAATCAAAATCAGGAAATGGGGTGACCCCTGACACTATAAGTTTGAGATTTAAAAAGTTGAAATTTCAACATCAAAAGTTTTAAAATGAATGTATAAATATGTAAAAAAGCTGCTTAATTAAAATTTTTTAATTTTTGATTAAGCAATTAGTTTTTCATTTCTAATAACAAAACAAAAAACAACAACTATTGACACACTATTTCAGATATACATATACAGGGGTGGGACCGCAAAATGTGAACGTTTTTGTTTTATTATAACTATTTTCTCGTTAGATGTAGTTGTACTCTCTCACTCATCAGAAAGTGTCTAAAGAGTTGTTAAATATGAACTATTTTAAATAAGAATGTCCAACCATTGGACATTCTTATTTAAAATAGTTCATATTTAACAGAAAATTAATTATTACAATCAGAAAAGTGTTCACATTTTGCGGTCCCACCCCTGTAATTAATGATACAACTAAAATGATTAATTATGAAGAATCATATACTAATCTTACTTATTTTGTTTAAATTATTGACTACTGTAAAAGTAAATTATATGCAAATCATTGTCTTTTAAAAAAATTCAAAAAAATTAATAGTTTTGGGCATACAATGCAATCAGTCAACATGGCATTTTCCAAACACTTTGAATGATACCAACAACCACAACGTTCACAACCAGTTTGAATTGATACCAACAACACTTTGAATGGTACCAACAACCACAACGTTCAATTAAAACCTCCTCTACTTCACTGATTTCATCGTTTTTGTCATTATCTTCTTTTCCACAGATAAAACAAAGATCAGTTTCAATATCTTCAATGACATTCAAAACTGCCCCAGATGCAATGTTCAACTTATTGCCCCTGAGTTTTTTTGTTTCACATGCACCAGGATGAGACAATGGCAAAGTTGTAACCGAATCATTTAAAATGGATGCTGCTGATGCACTCGGTTCTTTGTATTCAGGAAATCTTTTTAAAACCTTTATACTGTTTATTGGATAAAGCAAGTACTAAAGCCAGAAACCAAATTCTGACACCTGTGTCTTGCAACTTAAGTGATAAACTTTTTAATAGAGCTGGAAAATGTTCTTTGGGAAATCATCCAGTTTTTCTGCTTTGTTTTCTCCACTTATATAGTACATGTTTCCAACAACGTTTTATTGGACCAAAGACATCTAATGGCTGCATTAAATGTGTGGCATTTAGTGGCAGCATAGCAAAGTAAACATTATGCTCCTTAGCAAGTTTAACAACGTCTGGATTAAAATGAGAGGCCAAGTTATCTCCTAAAAGAAGCTTGGGTCTATTTAAGTGATGAACGTTCAGCAAGAAGCATTTTGAAACCACTTGGCAAATGTCTCCATATCAAACCAACCTGATTTTGTGCAACTGTATATTGTTCCCTGTGGCCCTCCTGTTACCCAACCTTTATAAATGTCCGATGCTTTATAAACTACCATAGGTGTTTGTAGTACTCCTGAAGCAAAGCCACACTACATAAGAGATATAGAAGTTTTACTATGTTCTTGAACGTTTTCCACACGTCGTCTTCTTCGAACTAAAACAAACTTTTTTCCATGATCATCTGAAAGGTTTGTCTCATCGGAGTTAAAAATTTTAACTCCGATGAGACATGGATTAAATGGATTAAATATGTCTCAATACTCAAATGATTTTTTCATGACTGGAGCAGTTATTTGACACAGCAGTTCCTGTGTGGCTCACTCTGTTTATGCAGTGATGATTTTTTACCTTTAAATTGGAAATAGTTATAAAATTTGTAATTGATATTAAAGTGCTAAAAATTCACTCATTCCATGCCAACTGCAACATTACCATAATTCTTTATTGCTTTTTTTTGCAGGTTAGTGTTCTAATTAATTGTTTGGTTGCTTAAATGCAATTACTCGTTAGATGTTCAAATAAACTTACTTTACCCTTTAATTTGAGGATAGAATAAACAAAAAGTTTGGGTCATTTATAAAAGGTTGACAGTCCAGATTGTTATTAAAAGTTGAAGGTAAAGTAAATAATTTTTTCAGATTATTTATGGGCAGCTAGTTTTTGAAGTTTTGTCTTGTGAAGTGTTTTTTTTTTTTTTTTTAAAGCATTGTCAAAATATTTACTTTCTCTTAGCCATGTGTTTAGTTCTGCTAAATGTTGTTATTTTCTTTTTCATCAGGTGGGAAAACAACTACTCTTATAGTGAGATTTTAAGGAATGTTCTTGTTTTTATACGATATGAATGTTGACTGAAATTTAAATATGTCGCGAGTAAAGGTTACTTAATAACATATGTCTGTTTTTATTTATTGTTGTTCATAACAATAATTTGTTTAAGATATTAATGGCAGTTTTGTTTAATAGTTGTGCTATCATTTATAACATTTTTACCAAGGCTATACTATAAAACTGATTAAATTATGTACTTTAGTTAATATATTTTTAAGCTCAAATATATATAAATATTTTGGCTTGATTATAAACCCATCATCAATATATATTTAATTTTCAAAAATGCTGATTTTTTGGTTGTCAATAACTTTGAAAAGATAATAAATTAAAACTTATGTAACTTATTTCTCAGTAATTAGAGACCAAAGTTTTAATATATCTTTTTCCAATTTTTTTTTTTTTTTATTCACTTAATAACTTTACTTAGTTACTTTTTTTTTATTTACTTAGTACTTAGGTATCTTAGAAGTTTCTTCTAAAATTCAAATTTTGAGACATACGTAATCTGGAGCAAAATTTGTCTCTATTGCCAATAGTTTGTTCCAATAGTTTGGTAAAACATTTTGTCAATAAATGAAATTTTTATTTAAATTAAAAGTGTTGATTCCAAATCAAATTCATCCTCAAATACTTTATATATTAAATCTTAATGTTTTACTACCCATGTATATATATATATATATATATATATATATATATATATATATATATATATATATATATATATATATATATATATATATATATATATATATATATATATTTATTAGGGCCCTGAAAAGTTTCAAAATTTCGAATCAAATTGAATCAATAAAGTGATTCAAGATTCGATTCAAAAGATCTCTATATATTCGAATCAAGGTTTTTTTTAATAAATTTTAAAAAATTATGGAACCCTAACCATTTTTATATGTTTTTTTGTTGTTGTTTTTTTTACGCAGTTCTAAAACAGGTTGCTATAAGTAAACAGCGTTTCTTATTGGTTGTTTTTTAGTGGTTTGTCTTCTAGTGTAGTGTAGCGCTAAAATTAATTAAAGGTTGGAAGGAGATCATTAGCTCTCTTGCACGGAGGTTGTCGTTGAATATAAAGCGCCTTATTACTTTAAAAGTCCTAGTGCAAAAAAAACCCAATAACCTCCTACTTCTTTTTATAAGGAAAAATTACCATTACACTTTATGGATGACCCATAGATTAAAAAATCACCCCTAAATTGTAATGTAAAAGTTGTGGCAATTATTATTTTCAACGACTTTTAAACTCCACCATGCTATTTTTTAAAAATTACAATTGTTATTTTGATTTTTGTACATATATTTCACAAACTTTTGATTTTGTACATTTATTTCAATGCAATTGAATTTAAGAAACATTCTTTTATAAGTTGATGTTGTAAAAAAAAACGAATCAAAAAACATCTGTTGCACGTTTATTATTTGGAAAACAATTATTTTAGAAAGCGTTTTTTTTTTTTTTAATTCATTTTTAATTTCGCAAACTCTTTAAAATTACCTATATTTCTTATTTATGCAATGGCAGGAATTATTAAGTCGTACTTTGAAGTAAAAGATCAGTTTTATTTATGTAAAACGTGCAAAGCCACTTTACGTGTACAAAGCTCTGGCACAACATCACATCTCTGGAGTCACTTGGAAAAAAAGCACAAGACACTTCATTCTCAAGCTGAAACAGATCGAGCAAAAAAAACGCATATTGTTGAAACCAGATGTTTCAGAAAGCATTTGTTTAAAAAAATCTTAGAATAGCGTTATGTCAG